TACCACAGAATTGTGGGTGAAAAAGTTCAAAACACGAGCTGCGTTTTTTGGGCAGTAAAACATACAGCTGACAATGAAAGTTGAAAGCGGACAGATAGTAGCCTGTATGTCTGTTGCTGCATGACACAGCAAGAAAGAAACTGAAAAGGGTGGGACAGAACTGTAGGTGCTTGTGCGAAACCGTCCGACCCACCGTGGTCTCCCAGTGAACCTGCAAGCGGATGACTGACTTCTTCAAAACCTGCAATGTAAGTACTCAGTATACTCACCGAAATTTCAATATCAATGACAAGTAATATGAAATGTAAATGTAATGTAATGAAATGTACTACGGAAAACAAACTCAAACGCCTCTTCCAGCAACTGACAGGTTTAAAGAGATGAAAGGATAGGTTTTTGGTTTTTTTTGTCGTGTATCAAAACAATGCTAAAATATGATGTTTACAGTGAAAAGGTTATTGTTGGCTATTATCATTCCTCATCTCAATTAAGCATCCCCTTCTTTGGCATGGCCAAATTGTAAGAAATTAGGGACAAATCCACTCTTCAACTTTGAAATGAAAAAATGTTTCCCAAACCGCCCAAGACCTGGGCTTTGATTCTGTGTGTATTTATATTAGTAGCATTGTCAGGGCGTACTTTTAGAAAAAAATGAGTGTACCGAATGTGTAACAAAGAAGAAACAGACATCAGAACATGGCCGGCAAGTGACCCTAGAGGGCAATAGGTCTAAGTTGAGCAGAATGAAGTATTTGGTGCATGGATCTCAAAACCTAAATTCCCCATATGAGGACACAGGATTTTAGGAGGCTAAGTTTAGTAGAAAGTAGCAGTCTAGTTAAAAATTAAATGGATATTGTTGTTAGGTCATTGTGTAGGTTCACTGTTGGAAGGAAGTATCCTACTGCTGCAGCCTCATAACTGTTTCTAATGAACTTTAGAATTTTGTCCTCATTCTAAGTCAGAGTCAGATTAAGAAAGCGTTACAGAGTCAGTATAGACAGAAGGAATCATAACAGCCACCAGTAACTCTTAACATTTTGGCATGTGAGTATTGTATCAAGACAAGCTTGGGAAAAAATAAAAAAATATGGGGGTGTGACAATGAGTATGTAGTGCTAGCTTTCTTTTATAATTATCCTCATAATTGGATTGTTTGTATTTTGCAGTGTGAAGATGAACCAGACGTTGCTGACACTGTGGTCACTGACACTGACGGTCCTGATGCATCCGCTTCAGCCCAAGTGAAAGGTGGCTGTGGATGGATTTGTCTGTTTCTCTGGGGGTGGTGATGCCTTTGACACATGCCTTTGGTGTGAGAGACCCGGGTTTAATTCCTCATTGTGACACGTCCACCAATGTGTCCCTGAGCTGGAAACTTTACCCCTAGTTGCTCCAGAGGCGTGCGACCTCTGACATATAGCTATTGTAAGTAGCATTGAATACTTTCAGCTAAATGTAAATGTTAATGTAACTCGTGTATAAACTCCTGAAAGCACTTCTGAACTGGCCGTTCAGGCCAGCTGTGACGAGGTCCACAAGATGAGGTATGTAGGCACTCACACACACACTGACGGGTGACATCACTGCGGCGGCTGATGATTCAGTTTCCTCCTGTCAGGTAGACGTCCTGCAGGGTTTCCGCGGGGTCTTAAAATGTCTAAAAAAAAGTCTAACATTTCAAAATCTAAATTTAAGCCCTTAAAAGTTTTAAATTCGCTGAAGTTTGTTTAATAGGTCTTAAATAATTTTAAACGGGTATTAATATTTTCCAACATCCATGTATCGCTACCTCTAATGCTCATTGAAATACCCCCACAGCGCACAAGAATGTTGTAATTATTTCTGTTGCTAGTCCAAATCGATCCATAATTGGCTGTATTACGACTACAAAGACCAACAGGCAGCTTTCGTGTTATTGCCGCAAGTCTCTTTCGGATTGTACCACAGATATAAAACGGATTTATTCTTCAGTTATGGGGAAGTGCAAACTTATCGGTTGTTGGATTGAAAAACAGATCTTACGGCTTAAAACCAGTCTCCAGCAACATATTTGAAGCCTACTGTCGCTGCTTAATGAATGAGCACCGCTATTAAAATTTCACACGATCGTTAATGATTATCAGTAAGCTACGGTAACACTCAACTCATGGCTGTCCTGTCTCCCTCTCCTCGGTCTTCAAATGATGAGCGAATGTGAGAGTGGCAGAAAGTGACGGTGAAAGTTAGCGGACCATAAGATCAATATTAAGTTGTCAGGTTACAGCTCTGTCCTCTACTGTACATCTTGATAGTTAAATTAAATTAAAAAGGAAGGACGGTGTTGACAACGGAGGAACTGAGGTTAGTAACAAAGCAAATTAGGGATGCAAACTAACGTTAGTCCTTTTAAGTTAATGAGGAGATTATTCTTTAGAATTTTAATGTACAAATGAAATGCTTGTTATTATCCAGAAGGGAGGTGGTTCTCATGTTGCCTATTATTTATGTTAATTTCTACAAATGTATAAAGCAGTAAATTAAGACACAAAAGGCAAACATGAACTGTCCTATCTGTAATGATTCTGAGGTCATGTTAACAGTGTTTTCCTTCCATTATAAGGTGATGAGGCTCAAAACTGCTTGGTGCTGCACAATGAATGTAAAATCATTGTGGAGAGCATCAAAACTAACCAAATCAATTTTCCCACATCTAATGGTGATAATTCAACCCCAGTAGACTTATTTAGCAAGTTTAGTTTTTGGGGTGGAGTTTATTCCAAATCTGCTCTGGATTTTCCTACTTATTATTCACAGATCTGGTAATAAAAATGTTCCAAAATGATGTGGAATTGCATATTTCTTTATTTTTGAAGACAAGAGTTCAGAATTTCAGCTCTCATTTCGTGGTATTCACATCTAGATGTGTTAAACAACTAAACTCTTGTCTCATACTCATCTTTTGATTTAAAAACCCAAATGTCTTCAGCGAACAACAAAACCAAAGGAATTTGCCTTACCGTTCCAATACTTTTGGAGGGGACTGTAGTACTTAACAGTGACATTGCCCCTAACATACTGCGTTTTCTAGTTTTAGTTTCTTCCTTTATAATAAATAAAAGCTAATAACACTTCTATATCATAAAAAATGAAATATGTACTTATATTTTAGGATGTGGTGCATCTCTGGGAATAATCAATTTGGATCTAAAATAAACTGTTTTGTGAAAATATGGCTTTACAAAAAAAAGTAGACTCTTGACTCAGCTTGCCCCATATGAGAGGATAAGTTGAGCCACATGGGGATCTGGGATATCAATGTCATTTCATCGTGCAAACTCAAATGCCAGATCCCAACATTCAATTGCACTTACATAGTGAAACATTGCAGCTATGTCTCCTAGTTGTTTCAGATCAATATATTACTTTAAAGTCATCCTGTTTATCATCATGTCCCGTGCAACCTGATGAATGGACTTCCCATTTGTGTACCTCTCCCACTACTCTGTCCAAACCCAAAATAGGAGTTGAAGCCTTTCTGTTTTCCATTCAGTGATGCTTAAGAATGCTATGAAAAAATTACAGTAAAATAGTTGGCTCAACTTCCCCCAGGTCTTTTGGCTCATATTACCCAATCTCTGTCATTTTAACAAACTTGTTTCATCCAGCACTTCAAGGGTAATGTCATGCTAACAGTATAGCCTCATATTGTAACTTCCTAAAGCACTAACTTCTCAAACATATCAGTAATTGTTCAGACATTAGAATCAGGACTCCTTGAACATAAAACACTCACCTTGAATGGCAAAAAACAGTTTTTTGATACTAAATGTGCTTATCAATTATTCCATGGGACTCTCTCCATCACAGGGTGAGTAAAAAGGATGACTCAAAAATATGTGGTCACATGACCAATTTTGTGTATGGTTGCAGAGAACTAAGGGGGGGCTCAACTTCCCCACAGGTTCAAATCACCACGCTCTACCCTATTAGTAAGTTGGGTATAATACTAAAACCTTAATTGTTTGTATTTTTCCATCCTTTCAGTGGGCCTGTTATTTTGTGGACCAGCAGTGCTTTATGTCTTTCTCTTCTGCTTCAGCTATGAATCACAATGACAACGACACAGGTTTTTGTGCAGCATATAGGTCATTGTGTGAGTGTGCGTCATAACCTGTGGTCATGGCAACTTATTCTTTGCTGCTTTCTTCATTATATCCATTCAGTTTTCCTCTATCTGATGTTCCTTTGCAACTCATCAAACCACATTCAGATCTAATGTGTCCTGGACTGCTTTTGAAATCTTTTGCTTTCAAGATGGCTCAAATCCTGTCTCACAGAGTAACATTTGGAAGATTAGAAAAATCCTCCCTAAGCATGTGGTCTGGTAGACGCAATAATAGAAATACTCCAGACATTGCTTCTGTAAAGTTTGTGTTGAAACTGAGTCAGAGGTATTAGGACACATTTGTAGAAATGTATTAAACTTGCGGTTGCATTATACTGAAATGTTAAATATGGAATTCAGTTGTGTTCAGCCGCTATGTATGTTTAAGATAAACAGAATATAAATAAATAGAATATAGATTTGAATATGATTCTGTAGGCTTTAACTGAGAAATTTGGTCAACATTTGCTTCAACATTTGCAAAGTTGGTGACACTCAGTTCAGGCCCACATGTTTTATGTTAAATATGTTATTTTAAATAGGTCTGCTTCTATTTGCTACTGGTAACATCACTTAACATGGCAAAGATCACATTTGTTTCAGGTTACAGGTGTCTCATCACCCTGAAGATTAATTTACCACATTCTATATGTAGGGATTTCAATAAGTAGGCAATATTACATTACTTGATTTCATTAAGTGTCCATTTCCTTTCATATTTGTGAGGAATAACCATAGATTACATATCAAATCTATGGGATGTACTGTATCTTGATGGGGATCTCGCAGATAACCAATGAGCGCCCTCAACACGCCTCTCTCTCCTCTGGAAGAAATATTTGACGTGGCAAGAGCTCCGGACGTGACATAGCTGAACATCGTCTCTCCTCCTCTCTTCGGCTTAGTTACCTTACCTGCAGAGATCTGCAGGCACTGGTCCCGGAGCAGCAGAGCAGAGTCCTGGTCCACTATCTGAACCAGAAGAAAAGAATGTGGCTGATCGTGTTGGCCAGTTTGCTTCACTGCGCCTCGGCCTACGATGTGGATCTGAAGAAACTCGACGGGTTGGCGAAAGCGAGGGTGGAGGTACACTAGCCTAACACAGCAGCATTCATGATACGCTATTACGCTTCATACGTGAAAGTAGCCAAAATTAGTTTTACAGTGACGGTAGGTCTGGGATTAAAATCTTCTGAGTGGGATTTGCGTTAATGTGTGAATGGATGTGTTTTATTCCTTACATTGGGCGCATGCGTGAGTGCTTCATCTATAAGGATGAGTAAGTGTATAAAGTGGATGGAGCTCCATACGTTTACAATATAACCAAATTAAGGCTGTGTAGACAATATTTCATTCAACTGAAATAACCATACAATCTGCAACGAAGTGGCCTTTTAGCTGAAAGGGGCCTGAGGGTGTGTAATTGGAGGTCGGATTCCTGCATGAAAGTTTCTGCAACTCTACCCCTCTTTTTGAGAACAACCATGCACTTATCCCTCAGGGTGTCACCAAATCACCAGTCTGCCAGCATCACAATAGAAATGCATGTTATCTGTTGCTATTGTGTTTGTCACACCTGCTACTCAATATCTGAGGCTCAAATTTCCACAGAAATGGGTTAGGCATCCTTCCCAGAAGCCTATCTAAATCTGTGCTCTGTAGAAAGGATTCAAGCTGCAGTGATACCAGAACATAAGAGACTTGCTGTAGAATTTCCACAAGGAAAATATGTTATAAAAATAGATTTCAGTAGCCAAAATTTGCCACTTATCTCGTTCCTAATCCAATTGATGTCCCATTTCTAAAGTAGGAGAACTGCTTGTAACCATTTCCTGTATCTTTCCAGACATGTGGTGGATGACAGCTGAACAGGCTCAGAGAGGTAAGTTACCCTCTATTATGTCATCAACAGGAACAAAAATGAGTGTCGGAGGCAGGCTGAAGCCTAATCCCTGCCTAGAAATGTTTGATCACTGAGAAACATTTGACGTTTCACATCTAGGGTTTCACATAATCCCCCACAGATCTGTCACTGAAACCAGCCCTGAGTGAAAAACATTAATCCCCACCTCTGTTTGTAGGTCAAAGCCTTTGTGATCCAGGACATTCCTCTTTAGTATCCTTTGACTCAACCACTGTTACTTGTTCTTAAATATGTCTGTTCATAAATTGCAGACTGCAAATATTATAGCATTTTATTTCTGTGCCAATCCTTGACCATCACTACCTCAGCCATAACCTGGTGATGAAGCACATTCCTGGGGCCGACCCTGAGCTTGTCCTCCTGAACCACTATTACGAAGAGCTGGATGTAAGTCTTTGCTTTGCAGCATGTTTTACAAGATATTTAAGCCCCTATATGTATAATTGACATTATGTGACAATTACGTAAATCAGCGTCTGTGTGTTGTTTTCAGCCCATCCAAGGGTTAGATCTGTGGAAGTGAGGGGGACAGACCAGTTAGATTGAAAATCCTACACACAGGACCTTTATTTAAAACAGCTTTTTTTAATCCAAATTTGCTTTAGCAAATATATAAATATATAAATCTGTGTTAATTTGTTTCACACTACACCAAGCTGAAAACCCTCATTACTTTATAAAGCAAATTTCCTAGCAAACAGTTACCAATTAACACATCCACCAGAAATGGTACCAACATCACATGCCGCTGCACTGACAATCATAGTCAATCAAATCATGGTGAAAATGTGTGATGCAGTTTTTCATGCAGCACTGACAATGACAGAAAAGTAAATTTACTTGTTTATTTATTTAACCCGTGTGTGTCTTCTACAGCGGATCGCCCTTTCTGACATGACCCGCTCTGAGATCAACGAGCTGCTAGAGAAGCTGGGCTTCTACAAGAAGGCTGAACCTGAGGATGACGTGCCGGACGAGTATCGCTTCTCTCCTGCCAAAGACAGCCCGTTTAAAGACGAGGCTGCATACAAACCCTCCACTTCCTCTCTTGCCACAGAGAACGCCTCCTCAGAGCCCAACGTAGAAGTCAAGCATACTGACCTATAACCCATCAGAGTGGAGAAAAGTAGTAATGTCACAGTACCACTCTGCCCCATAGCTGCTCCATGACCAGCTGGTTACTGCAGGTGATGACAAAAAAATACTTGTCATTTCAGTTTGCACATATTGTTGCTGTTTGCTCTTGTTTTGGCAGCGATAATAACCCAACAGGCTGCTTTGTGAGTGCTTTTTTACTCCCCACCCAAAGACTGGATGTGTGTATGGTTTTTTTTTATTCCATCATGTGTCAGCTGATTTCAGGATCTTTGCCTCACTTGGGCTCTCTTGTGTGTCTGATTGCTTCTTACCTACTGTGAAATTGAATGAAGCCTCAGGCTGAAAACTGTTTGACTGGCCAGAGGTTGATGCTACATGTTCTGGTGGGTTGGACTGATACACACAAGAGGATTCAAGTGGAAGTGTTTTAAAAGAGAAAAATAAAATGTTTGAAAATAAAATCATCTCATGGTCCCTGCTTGGTCCTTGCGGTGTTCAATGTAGTGTAGAGTATGAATGTAAGCATGTCTGACTCTCAACAGGAATAATCCGGTGTGGAAAATTAAAATGTCTAATGTTTGAGAGGATTCAGAGCAATAATCCCCCACAAATGCACTCATTTCTCAAATTGGTTTAATTTTAATTCACATTTAACTGTGGTGCACAGAAACATGAAATTATAAGGTGTTTAAGCTCTTATGTACAGCTCTCACTGCTTGGTGGAAGTTAATTGTTTTTCAGTTAGCAACAGTGGAATACTTCTCAATTAAAATCTACTAAAACAGAACTTTAAGAAATAACTTTCAACAAAATAAGCTCTGATCGGATTTTAAACATCTTCCTTATAAGGAACCAGCAGAATAAAAATCTTCATTTAAAAATTTTCTTTAGCTTCATGTCGTAAAATATACAATTGGCAGTTATGGTCAGTCATGATTACTCACGTTTACATAACAGAAAGCCAGCTTTCATCTGGCCCATTACCCATATGTTTTACTAAACATTGTGGTAGCTTGAGCTTATTGATTCATTTTAAACAAAACTTTTAGATGCATAAAGTATACACTAACGAAATACAAAATAATATATTTTAAAAATCTACTCAAGCATAAATAAAGAGCCCTCTAAAAGAGCTGTGTGTGAATGTGTTTGGCAGGGCAAGGCAGTGATGCTGTGAGGTCTTTTTGTACATGTTGTCATTGAGCTGTAAGAAACATCAAGTAATGATACAATTCAGCTGTGACATCAGAGTGCAATCAACTCCACTTGTTTTCAATCTACCTGAACATGTTTGGACTGCAGGAATTAGTGCTGTTAAAATAATGATGATGATGATATAGTAATACAGGAGGGGTAGAAATCTGAAACATGTTCCCAGTAGCACTTTAGAGTTTAGAGGTGAGATTACTGCAACAATAACAATGTTACATCCTTTAGAGCAATGAAGAAAGAACAGCTCTGTGCTGATGTATTAAATAGTATTATGCTAATTGCTTAAATCAAAATGAGAATAATAACTTAATTAAAATACTTCAAGCAATCCAAGTTTGGGTAAAAAGGAATTAATAAAAAATTAAGTACCAAAATGAAAACCAAATAAGGGTGGGTGTATTTTTCTTCTTCAGTGGAATTACCAACAGCAATGCCAGCAAACTACAATAATTACAAAAGTGTAGCAGAGAAAAAGTTGGTACAAATAACTTAAAAAGGGTAAATACTATAAAAATATTTCTCTTTTCCCTCTAGATGTTTTTCAGTACACTACCATAGTGACACAGCCACTGCATGTTAAATAATACCTGGTACAAAGCTTAGTTTGAGTACACAAAAAACCCACGTAAATTTTAAAGCTTAAAATGTACCCTTATTAAAGCTTTGGCGCTCTCTTGCTGGAGAAAAGTGGACTTTGTGTTAACAATGTGTGTTCAGAAGAGAATCGAAATAATGAATACACATCACCACTGCCAACAAAGATAATAAGCAAACGGACACACACACACACACACACACACAATCCCCAACTTGTCCATCAGAGATGTGCAACTCTGTGATGCAGCTCGTCTGTGTGGAGGCAGTCATCAGGTTTAGATGGAGGAGGGGTCAGGGCTGTGAGGTCAGAGGTCACAGGGCCGACCCATGGACATTTCGTATCTGCGCAGGTGGTTGACCAGAGACTGTACATAGGTGAAGACACATTTGGAGTCGGGTTTATTACCCATGATCATCATGTCCTCCACTTCCAGCAGAGGCATACAGTTGGCGTACGTCCTGAGGAGCACAAGAGACAGTGTGAATGAGAAAGAGGAGGATGAACGGACAGGGAGAGGACCAGAGATGGAGTAGGGAGGAGGATAATCTCATCAGATTTCATATTTAATAATCCATCAGGTGATTTCTCATGGTCATTAACCAAACTGGTGGAACAGCAACAGCACACACACACACACACACACTCTGACACACTCTCTGGCCCTTACTTATAGTTATACTCTGTTTTTAGAGATAAATCAACTTCACTAATACAGGTGTTTCAATAAGCAGTTTCAGGAGCAAAGATCTCACATGTGTGCTATGCAGAAAGTGACCACAGGGTGGCATTATCTCCACATACTGTAAACCCTCGGAGACATCCTGCACAAAGAGCAGAGTAAAAGGGAACAGAAAGAGGCTACATTTTTGCATGAGAAAACGTCATTAAGTATCTTTAAAAAGCTTTACAAGCCAAGTGCATAAACACCTGTAAATTCTGCCTTTCCATCCTCTGCTTCGTTTCTAAACTCCTCAGTTCGAAACATTGTGATACAGTAGTTCCTTTTAAAGTATTGAACTGCAGATGGTCTTGGCTCTGTGCCTGGGCCATAGTCTGGCTATGTAGAAATGCACACATGGACACACACACACATAAACGTGCATACCATGTTTGGTACTTTGGACCTCAGTAGCTTCAGATAAACATGAAGGATCAAATATCCAAAAGCAGCCAATAAAGGAGTTTTCTGAACCATCAAGTTTGATATAAATCCTATCAGCTGCTTAAAACTTACACACACACACACACACACACACACACACACACTCCCCGCATCCCATTAAGTTTGTAAGAACCAAAGTGAGGTTCCTTCACAGGCTCACCCCCTCTCTCACCATGGGTTCAGTTTAAGGTGGAGTGTGACTCTAGGAGGAGTTTTTGGTTTTAACCAGGCCCTTCGTCACCAGACCCCTGTAGAACTCCTGCAGGTACGTATATACACACTTCCAATCCGGCTCGCGCATCTTCACCATGTCATCCACATCCAACAGCTGGGGACAGTCCACTAGTTTCCTGTGCCCGCACCCGGCAGGGGGGGGAAGAAAGATGGTGGAAGACGAGGGGAGGAAGGAAAGGAAGAGAACCAGGGTAAAGTACAGATAAGAAGAAGAGAGGACAGGACAGAGACAGTGGATAAAATGTGGGAAAGAGAAGAAGAAGGAGGATGGGGGGGGGGACAGATAAAGCAGTGAGCAGCCAAATGAAAAAGATTCAGGGTGAAAGACACAGGGAGAGAGAGAAAGGACACAAAAAGGTATAACATTACATTCTCTGTGTTCACAAATATATCCATGAGTTGACATGCTTCATGAACATCATGATACGTACAGTATGTGGCAAACACACACACACACATACATAAGACAAAACAAAATGTCAAATGAGCGTCAGGCGATGCTCATTTAGCCTTTTTGTTTGTTGTTGTTTTTTTCTGTGCACTAAAGACAAGAGACTTTTGACCATTTCAATACGGCTATGTTCTGTGTCAGAAATAAAAAGACAGGATGAAAAAAACAACAAGGATTCTGCAAAAAAACAAACACAGAGAAACAACCATGTGGTGACTCTAAAAACACACTGGTGCACAGGATGGTGTGTGTGTTTGAGCGTTAGGATTCCAGATAACAGTGAACTGCTGGGAGGGTCAGGAGTGCCTGGGGGAAGTGAGTGATAGTGCAACACAAAAGGTGGAAAGCGGGAGGCTGTGGTTGGGTGACAGTCCGGTGTTGAGAGTATAAATAATTAAAATCAACATCAGCATGGACATTATCCTACTGGGAGCATGTGAACACACACACACACACACACACACACACACACAGACAGATGGATGGTGGGCATCACAAGTGAGAATGGTGTGATGCATGAAGGATGAGAAAGAAAGAGGAAAAGGAGCGGAGAGAGATTAGGAGTAAAAAGGAGGGAAAATATTGGGAGACATAGCTGAGAGCTCGTCCGTTTTTTTTTTTTTTTTAAACCTGGTGGTTGTTTGGGGAGGGTTTGCTCATGGGTCTCTCGTTTAGAGCAGATGGAGGGTGTCACAGCGGTTACTCATAGTAGAGGAAAGATGGAGAGTGGAGGTTTAGAGGTGAAGTAATTAGTGTAGAAGCAGAAATGGGGCTCGCTCAGCCTTGAGGTGGTTCGATACACCTGGGAGAGACAGGGAAAGTTAACACCGTGACAGTCAGTCGAGGAGCTTCCACATGTTTTCGGTCCGTCTCTGTGCTTCAGGCTCAAGTAGATCATGGTAAAGAGCAACACTGAATAAAAGCTACAAGTGGATTTCACAGAGCAATCAGAGAAGGACGTGATAACAAATCTGCAATGCAAAGAAAGGGGAATGTATTTGTTTGGGCTGGCAGCAACGCAGGAAAACTGGATTGTTTGGATTGCTTGGATTGTTTGATTTTGAATGTGTATTCACTCCACGACTGCCTCGGGTGAAAGGTAATGTCTGTATCTTTAAGTGGAAAGCTAAGCCGGCAGTGGCACCTTCAGCTGGTTTCTCCTCATATTCTTCACATTTTCCCCGACAAGCTTCAGAAAAAAATAAAACGAAGGTTCACTGTAGTTCATGTGGTTTCTCCAAAGAAACAAAGTTGGTAGATGCTCTCACTTGTAGTCAAAACTTAACAACAATAATAAAACTGATGTGGTTAGTGGACATGACAAACCTCCTCTTGTGTGTGTGTACTCACTCTGCATTGCTGAAGGCCACCTCAAAGTTTTGCCTGCGGTTGCTGGGGCTCAGGGAGCTGTAGTCAAAGGCATCAGGGAAAAAATTGTGCACCAGGGCACAAAACGCCATGCCATTGCTCCAGCTGGATGAAAAATTCTGAATATCTACATGCTGAAGGAGAAGACAAACAGAACAAATGTGGAGACAGTGATATATAACTGATGCAAACATTCCCAAAGAAGGAAAATATTATCAAAGCCTATCTTGTCTTAATCATCAGGTTCAGCTACAGCTTCGCTGGCTGACATTAAAGATGAGCACTAAGCCCACGGTGAGTTGAGTGGATGCTTGGCTCACCTCATAAGAGCGGGTCTTGGCACGGCACCAGTCGAGAAGCATCTGCTTGATGGAGTTTGCGTTGGGTACACCAAAGCTGGTGGAACGTTGGACCTTGTTTACCTTGGCGACCGCCTGATTTCCAGGGCTAAAAAGAAAAGTCAGGTTTGTGTTAATATTTACATGCCTTGACCTGCTCTTTTTCTTTCTTTGGTAGTAATACCTCTCTGTTTATCCTTACCCGCCTCCCTCCTTCTCCAGCTTCTCTATCATGGCTTTGCGGGCCTGCATGGCAGAGGTCTTCGGCAGAGTCTGAGCCCTCATCAGCTCTTTGCGCCTCTCTGCCTGCCTTCGCTCCACGGCGGCCAACCCGCCGCTGCCGCTGCGAGACGACGAGTCATCCTCGCGATCAAACACACTGAGGCGGGGACATGTACGGCAAGTTCATTTGTGAAAGTGAAGGGATTTCAAACTCGGTGTGATTACTGTGCTGATGTTTCTTAACCCACCTGCCCACTTTTTTGCTTGCATTAGAGGAGGAAGAGGACGTGGAAGAGGTGAAGCTGTATGATTTTGACTGGAGTGTCCCTCCTGAAATAATAAACAAATACACAGAGATATGAATGATACTATTGATGTGACTGTATTGTAAGAGAGAGTGAAATAAAGTAATGACTCACTGTCTGTTTTCTGCACATAACTGGCCTCGACGACAGTGCTGCGTGTTGATCTGTTCCCATTATCTAAACACACAAATAGACACTTCATATTATTTATTTATTGGAAAGATTATATTTTATGACTGTCAGTGTCCTTATGACTTGTTTTCCATTCACTTTCACTGTTTATTATGTTTTGCTCCCCTGTTTTTGCCTTTCTCTCCAAAAATGCCTTTTGTCTGCAAATAAGAACTGGTTCTTTGTTGAAAGGTTTAAAGAAGGTTCATAAATGCACAGGAAAAGAAAAAAAGGAAAAAACTACCAGACTGGGCAAAGCGGTCTGTTTTGGTGACTTGGCTGAGGGTGGAGCCATCCGCTGACTTCTCCACCTTCCTCATGACCACCTCTCCTGCTCCGACCCCAGCGCGACCCATCTGTGTTCGCTCTTCTCTCTGCTGCCGGAGCTCCTGCACACGGGTCTCACGCTCCTTTTCTCTCTGGTCTGAGGTGGAGGAGAGGAGAGGAGAGGAGAGAAGAGAAGAGATGGAGAGGTGGTGGGGAAGGTGGAGAGATGATGTCAGTGGAAAAATAGGAGAAAGAGGACAAGAGGTCCTAAACTAACTGCCAGCACCTCATCTGACTGCCACAAAGATGGATTAAAACTGAGCTTCCAAATTTCAGGCAATACATTTCAGGATTCTTTCCACACAGTACCGTAAAATTCCTCTGAACACACACAGGTGGGAGGCTTGCAGCCAAGCCAAAGCTGTCAAGTAATATGTACTGCGCAAACATCACAGATCAAATCACAGAGCAAACACACTCAGATCAGTCAGCTCAAAAAGCTGTGCCAAATTCAGCAATGTCCCCAACACTAATGTATCAACACCTGCACGGCTACCTCCAAGTTTTACCTGAGTAATCACGTGTATTGAGACATACTGTGTTAATCTTAGACATTTATTCTACTAACTATGTGATATCCTTTGCTAAAATTGCAGAGGTTATGGCTCGTGGGTCGTGGACCCTTTGCATACTCGATGCTACTAGGTGCAGTGAACCTCTCCAGATTTGTCCAGTGTAGACTCAGATCTGGGACTCCAATTAGGAGGTTCAACTGTCAGCTCAATGCAACCAGACACCTGGTGAAACCACATGGTGAGTGCTCACTATGAAATAAAAAATACACTAAACGTGAGATGTTTCACTAACTAATGTTGCAGCACGCTGAGGTGAGTGTAAACCAGGATTCATGCACATTAACAAAACTACCAACAGATGCTTCACCATCCACCACAGAAGTCCGAGAGATAAACTGTTTAAAATTTGTGGTGATCTCACAATGACAGGATGATGCACACAAAAAGACAAACGCAGGCAAGTATTAATTGTTAAATGCACAATGCACACCAACCTGCCCTACCTATTTCTTCTTGAGTACATCCCAGCTTGGCCTCTGAGGGCAGAATGAACAGAAATAATGTGGAAAATGCAATTTTTTAAAAATGTGCCAACCTCTGATGACTTGGAAGAAAGCAGTAGTCGTGACAAAAATGAATGAAGCAAAAAAAAAAAAAAAAAAAAAACAGATAAAAGATTTTTTCTTTATGCAATTACCTCTCTTTTTCTTGCGAAGGTCTCTCATAGCTGCACGGATAATCTTCCTCTCCTCAAAGTCTTTTGACTCATCGAGCTGTGGAGGGACATTTCCAAATATACCCTCACAAAGCTGGCAAGATATAGTGTTAACACACAAACTTTCTGCATGACTGAAGCTGCTGTGTTTGCTACAAAGTGCTTTTTAAATCTAAATCATGCAGAATTATAACTTGGGTGTGAAGTACCATTTTGTCAAGGAGCTCTTCATCCTCGATAGCAGCCAGCTGTTCAGCAGTCAGCTTTCCCGAGCGCTCGTCGGGTTTGGCCTGAGTGCTGGAGCCATTGGGGATTGCTGGGACGTGACACGCCACTTGAACAGATGGTCCAGCTGAAAACACCGGCTCAGAGGCCACAACGGGCTCTGTCTCTATCTGCAAGATAGATAGAAGACACATAACAAAACACACACAGCGTGAGCGTCAGCACATACATATTTATCTGAAAAAGGACGCAGGGTTACATTAATTAGTCTCATTTAAAAAAAAAAAAAGACATTTTGACCTTGTTTGTACACTTATGAAACCAGGATGAGGGTTTAAAAAAAAATAACTGAAGCTTGCTGACAGTTAGGACGTAATCAGCACAGGATGATTTTGGGTAAAACATACTGCAGCCATAATAGGCCTGAGTGTGTGAAGTACGCTCCCTCTAATAATCTCTTTTGTAGCAAGACTGCCCACTCACTATATCTCATAATTTCTTCCATCCCCTCTGCCGTCCAGCCATGCCAGAGAGGGTTGACAATAAGCACATGAGAGCAAGAGCAACTCAGCCAAGTTACTGTTAACGTAGTTCATGGAGTGTAACTGACACACTGAGTGTCCAAATGATACCAAGCTGCTCTTAACCAAGAGTTTATGTGACAGGTACAATACACCACTATGGCTGGAAGACGGGAACAATGCATTAGCAGATATAAACAATATGAAAAATCCATGTATGTGCACCACAGAAGCAGAAGTGAGCATAGGAGCAAAACCAAAGAGTGAAGAAGAATTACATTACAGGTCGTAAAGGTAAAGCTGGCTATCTACCAGTCACTGTGAGTGACCATAAATCCTACCGAAAACACCTCTTAAATTTCATAAGGTGCTGAATGCCTGTGGCAGACAATAGGCTCTAGCTGAGGCTTGAGGCAATGCTATCGTTGTAACTGAGTCCAGGCCCAGATATAGCTCAGACAACTGTCCCTTGTCCCTATCCACAGCCTTCCGGCCCTCCTCCCTACAGGCCCCTGCCGGGCCAGGTCTCACAAGGGAGGGACAATGCCAAGCACAGCGCTCTGTGATTACTGGTGGCCACTGGACATGGGACAGATTGGACTGAGAGCCACTTGACCGACGAGGAATGTTTAGGGACACAACACAGCCAAACAAGGGCTCTGAGACAGGCAATGACGGAATATGTGTGGGGTGAGAAAATCCCAGATAACCTTAGTGCTTGAATCATGTTTTATTCATCTTCAGACTACTCTTCAGCATGTGAGTCACCGTGGAATGAAACTGCTCTTTTTGTTTAGTTTTTCTCTAATCCTTTGGAAAGCTATTAGTTTCACCACTTAGATGTGTAATACAGTCTCTCCACCAGCAGAATTATGAATAGCTGACATGGTAGAAATAAGCTGATACTGCAAAAAGGCATAGGGAAAAGGGCCACATAAGGTCACCATCATCTGTATCACAATCATCTTTTTGCTATGGGGAGTAACATTTAAGAGAAGTCCATCACCGTTACTGGAGCAGGTGATTGGCAGAACCAGCTGTCTTTGTAGGATTAGACAGGAATATGAACACTGCGGCATTATCTTCTGTTATACAACTGACCAAATACTCAGTATCCCTCAAAATGTCACCAGTGTACACACAAGCACACACACACACACACACACTTACGGTTTGTTGTGGGATTTCAAGAGCACTTAGAGCAAACAAGGCTCAAGATGAGCGGTTATCTTGTCAGTCATGAAACTCTGCATAAATCTCTGTAAAGAGAATGTAAGGCCTTAAATCCCATTCTTGCTCTGAAGCCAGACAAGTAAAATGTTTTAATTTATGGCTCCCTTTGGAAGGGTTCATGTATGCCAAACATTATGGATGATTTGAAGATGGCAAACCACAGGCCAGGGCCACGTTTACTGTTACAACATGTTAATTTTTCCCTCCTCCAGGAACTGTATCTACTCAGCAGAACACTTGCATACAGACACACACGAGTGCTAGCCAGGACGTGATCAGAAACACATGGTGTCGGAGGATTGGAATACCGCCATGACAGATTGCAGTGAAGTTCTCCACATAAACACAATCTGTCAAAACTGACTGACAGCTGAGATGGTGAGGACATGATGAAAGATTAAAACCAATGGAAAGCTAAGAGAGGTGGGCCAATACGTCAACAAGTACGTGAGCAGAACAGAGACTGTCACTGGCATGTCATGTAAAACCCATGGCCAGCTGAGCCACAGGTACTGTCAAAACTGGAACAAAAGACATTCCCATTCTTCAAGCAGTTTATCTGAATTAACAGAGAGCAGTACCGTGCTGCTGTTGCAAGAACTGTCTGCCATCACAGAGGGAGCAGAAAGGGAGCGGCGGGTTGCAAAGGTGGGTGGGTGAGGGACAGGTGAAGGCTCTGAATTCTGAGGTGCGCTTGTCTCAGTAGATAAAGAGTCTCCGGGGTGTGATATAGGTTCCTGTGGTACACATGATGGAGTGCTATCTGGAGTGTCCTGGGGTGCACTGGATGGAGACTCTTGAGGAGTGCATGAGGTATCATGCGGTGCTTCAAGTGCAGTGTCCTGGGGTGTGCACGCTGGAGAATCACTGGTTGGAGTTTTGGTTTCACATGGGATTGAAGGTGAGCTTTCAGCGAGTACAGGATCAGGTAGCCCCATTACTTGGCACAGGGCCTCCACTTGCCTCACCAGCATTTCCTGTTGAATCCTCAGCCTCAGGTTCTCCTCCTGCAGCCTGGCAAAAGCCTCGGCCAAAGGAGCCACCTGAGCTGCTGCCTCCTCCAGACGGACATCCACTCGCTTCCCAAAGACCTGCAGGTCACTATGGATCTCCGCCACTGCACACTGTAACATTAATTCAAATTTCCTCCTGCAAAACTTCTCCTCTTCATCCTCTACCTCCTCCTGAGCAAGCAGATCACCGATCATTTCCTCTAGTCCAGACTCAGCACAAGCACTATCTGGGCTGCCCAAAGCCTCTGGAGCCTGTGAGGCTGGAAGGAAGTCCAGGTTCACTCCAGGCATGGCCAGACCAGAGGCACTAAATGTTACACTTGCCAAAGTCCTTTCAATTTAAATCCACTCCGCAAATAAACAAGATGGGGTGTAAGATCAGAGAAATCAAAAGGTTGTGGCCTTGGTCTCAGATGTGAGGGTAGAAGGAGTCCTCTTTGTCCGTCTGTCTGTAGAGACTATCTAAAACAACGCACAGTCTTTATACCTCCAGCAAATATCCCCTCTTTACCGGCCAAAAACCTGACAGCCAATAAGCATGCAAGGAATCCTCTTTCCCAGGCAGCAGTAGCCCCACCCCCCTATTTCCAGGTGCTGTGGACATGTCCGTTTATCTCCTGCCGACATTATTCCACTAAGCCAGTCAGTCCCAGGGTACTGGTGGAGACCAGAGGGGGAATGGTAGAGGCAAGAATTTAGAAACTTCACCCCTCCCTCTTCCTTTTTATTTAGAGCCCTTGTCCTTCACACCTCCATTGGCAGGCAATGAGGGTTTAGATGTGGCTCGAGGCCTGGGCTGAGTAGAGTTATATGTTGTACGGGTTTCACTCCTCTTCACATTGCTTTCTGACAAAATGCAACTGAGACACTGTGTTGCATGACTGTGATTCACAGCAGAACTCCAGAGGGAAGATCATTCCATGAAGTGTTTCGGACCATGACAGAGCAGACTGGGACCGGTGAGGGTGAGAGGCCCAGTTCTCCACGGCTCTGGGAAGAAGGACATCACAGCCCTTCAGAGATTTTGTTTTAGGCTGACTGACAAAGCAGTAGGGGCCCAGCTGCGGCTCATGTAAATGCTTCAAGTGCTTTTGTGTTAAATTAAGAGCTCTCCAAGAATGCTGACAGAAGTCTGTGAGTGTATGTTGTTTATAGTGTAAGATGCTCAAGTACATCTTTTAAATGCCTACAGATGATTTATTGGCATATTACAGGCCATGCGGAAGAAATGAAATGGTACTGTACTTACTGTATCTCTGAATGCCGTCTGATTAGAAGCTAAGCTACACATGACAAAATGTTAACGACCAACAGTCTGGGATTCAGTGGAGAGCAATATGAGAAAGGGCAACAATGGTCTCTCTTGGGATTTACAGGTAAGCAAAACAGTTCCCAGGAAGAATCTGGCCCCAAGGGAGAGTGGAGGGAAATGTGAGTGGCAACAGGGAAAGTGGGTCAAAACCCAAGAAGGACATGGCTCTAGTCTTAGCATGCATCAAAGCACTAAATCACTTTACCCACACTAAAAGGAAAGTGATGTCGGAGGACAAGGAGCACAAGACTAGAAAGTGCTTATGCTATAATTGTCTGCTTATAGAGGTCCATGTTTCTGATTATTATGTAGGAAAATACCGTAGTAGTGTGAGTCGAATTCAATTTTTATGTTTTCTCACTCTTATGTGACAGTGTCTGTGGCTATTGTGAACCGTCTTGAAAGTAAAGTTCATCCAGTCATTAGATTCTCTCATACCTTTTTCTCCAGTTTGCACCTCACTCTGCAGAACAGGCTTAAATCTGTGACAAATGTGAACTGGTTGGGCTACCCTCATGTGTCATGGATCAGCAGTATGTTAACAATGGGGTCTTTATTCCTCTGTGTGACCGTAAGACAATCTGTTGCTGACTGTGGGCCTGTGTGTCCATGTTTACGCAGCAGCACATTACCAGTGTGACCTGGAGCTTGGCAGTAATCTCTATGACTACACGAAACAGACTGACTTTCACCACATTGGCTTTAAAGCTATGGCATTATTTATATTTGTGTTCAAGGCCGAGTGCAGTGGTCGGCATGGACGGACAGCTGAGATGAGCCGGAGCAGCTGTGATCTCTGGAGCAGGAGGCATCAATAATCAACTGCTAGTCTCACCTGTCTGAAATGAACTCTCATCATTGCACTGAAATACTACAAGCATCTTGACCTTAGCTAGTAGCTCTATCTCTCTAACTCACATTTGTCCTACAGTGTTTTGGGGTCTTTCCATTATTTATTTTATCTAAAATGTTTCTCCCTGTTGACTCTTAAACAGATTGTAATTTATAGTCAATCCCCAGCAAGAGATGATGCTATCAGCTTTATTGGAATAAAAAAAAAAAAAAAACACACCACTAAGTAAAAAGTAGAGGCTGTGAGTGCTGAAGTTAGACCACCGAGGAGAAGCCCAGACCACCCAAACAGATCAGAGTCCCAGACAGGAACCACTGTGGTCAATAAACAGCAATCAACAACACTAAACAGGACAAGCGTATCATAACTCTCACTACGCTGCACACTCATCTTGCTATAATGAACATACAACAATGTGAAAAAGGTACTTTAATATGAAACCACCCTGACATGTCACCTCCTCCCACACAACCTTCGACTAAACCAGGAAGAGTCAGAGAACAGGTTGTCTCTGGATCAGTCTTAAGCTAACCAAGCTGCCTACCCCTGGTTGATGTTAACCAACAGTGTCTGCTGCTGTTTTTACAATCTCATTAGCCAAGTCACTCAGGCTCAGTGTTTGTATGGTAAAACTTGAGAAAATCCGGCACAAGCAGGTAAATATCTCAGTGACAAAAAGAGAGACAGACTTGTGGGTTATGCGAAGGCATTCATGTTGAGCATATACAACGATGCAGTTGATGGGATAAGCTTCATGTGAACCACAGCCTATTGGTGCCAACATGCAGTCATGCTTGGCGTGTTACATTTTGGAGCCAGTGGTAAGGCATGTGGCTTAAGTATAATTTCAGCATTTTTAAACCTGGGCCCTGTCTTCACATATTTTGTTGGAATCCATGCAGTAGATGGCTTTAGTCGGCAGCCACAAACTCGGATGAAGTGGCTGAAACGTATTCCTTCAGAGCAGTTGTGCTCATGAAAATTAAGTCCACAAAAAGTGCCAACAGGATGGTAATAAGTAATAACAGGATAGGCACAATTCAGGGTTAAACTAATGATTGGTGAGTGACACATGTTTTGAAATCCAATAAAACAAATTCTTCACCTACATATATCATTTTTTTATTTTTTTTTAACCAAAATATAAAACATGTTAGCACCCACACAAAGACGTTACCTGCATCCTGTTTAATGTTGTAACAGCACTCAGCTCAGACAAGTATACACTTCATTTCCTGCAGAATCTTTGTCCTCTTCCTGCAAATCCCTCTTGTACAAGAAAGACTCTGCTGTGATATATTTGTTCGAACCTGCCCCTGTTTTTGTGTGTCTCAAGAACTGCAAAACTGATGGAGACAGTCTCATTCCAACACCTTAAATCCACCCTGCAGCCTTGTGGAGCCTCCTCCCAGCCCTAATTAACCAGTTCCCTGATCCCGTAACCAGATTACCACTGCGCTGGACAAGGCGTGGAATACACAGCCATTAAAGAGTAAATAGGACACCGCTTCTCCTTCCCTCCCCCTCTCAATCCCCCACTCTCCATTCATGAGGACAATTCCTTTCATGGAGGAGCAAGGAGGTTAAGGAATGAAGCAAATGGGAGTTTAACTGTTCCTAAATCCAGAGGTCACTGTGAGATGGGAGGGGATCGGTTTGCGCTCCCTGCTCAGCGGTCACTTTCCACCATCAGCAATAGACTCTGCCCACTTTCAGCCTATTAGAGTGCACAATTAAGAAACGGAGTCGCAACTTTGGGTTTTAGCTCCCCATAAGAAAACACGTGATGAATAACTTGTGTCAGCATGTGTTGTAATGCAGCTGGACAGTAATTGTGCATGAAGACAGACAGGTGTGATTTAGGAAACATTTCCTAGATAGAACTCAGAGGGCATGGCCTGCTGAGAGAAAACAAGGAATACCCAGAGCACCTTCCTCTCCCTCTCTCTCTTTCACATACCCTACAAGGACAGATGTGACTGGCTACCCACTCTGTGTTTGATAAACACTGTTCTTCCCTCATCTCCCTCCTTTTCTCACACTCTGTCTATCTTTTCATTTTCCCGGCTCACTTGCGTTTCAGGCCTTTATTGGTGATTGTTGCAGCAGACAAAGCAAAAATACAGTGCAATTCAATTGTGTCAGTTTGAAATGAAGTAGTGGATAAAAACAAAATGTTAATCTTTAATTCGAGGGAACTGGGAATGTGTTTTTAATGTATGTTTGTCAGGTCTCAAGATTCTGTGGGGCCTCAATGTTGTGAACATTTCCAAAAGATGAATCTGCAAAGGCAGGCTGTACCTTGATGGAGGATCCGGAGGAGACGCTGGATGAGGAGATCTTGAATGGTGTCGCTCTGAGGCCAAGGGTCAACTCTGAAACAAACACAGTAAAGCCAAATGGATTTTAAGTAGAACACATTCAAATTCAGATAGATGTGGTCCATGGTTATGGGTTGATTATAAACAAACTTCAGAAGACCAAGAAAGGTTCTGGGGCCAATATGCATGGTCTTGCAATGAGTTGGTGGTAGACATTAGTCAGTTACATAAGCTGCCATAGTGTCATAAACAACATGGACTTATGTCTAATGAGAGGCAAGTGAGAAAATCTAGATCACGGCACCTTTAACATAAACAGCACTCTTCGTTTGCCTGCAAGAGTACGTAAATGCATGTCCTTGTGACCAGTTGTCAAACCCTCCACTCACCTCCTTTCACTCCACACACACACACTATATCATAAAATACAGGATTGATGCACACCAGCGCAGCACAGTGCACATTTGGTAGGCACTTTTGAGAGAAATCTGTGACACGATCTCAGCCTGCCTTTAGTCAGTGGGAGACAGGCAGGTTCCCAAAAAAGGAGCCCAAAACCATTAAAGCAAATTGAGCTGAAAAGAAACAGAGTGACCCGTGTGACGGAGCCCAGTGGGGCTGCCAGAACGGGTCCTGGGGGGGGGGGGGGGGGCAGTAATTGCACAGGTCCAGCTTGAGTCTTAAATAAACTGTTTGGGTTGGAGGTCCCGGTTGCTGGGAAGAGCTGAAACTTAAGACCTCTTGTTTGGACAGACAGTAACAGCAGCTGTAGCAGCTTTGCTTCTGAAATGGACTGAGATTCATACTATTCATGTTTTTGTTTCATGCAATTAATGGTACTGGTTGCACTATGAGTATGTATCGGGCTGAATATGTACATTACACCATGTTTTCATCAGCTGCACAGTGATGTCTATATATTTTCTTATATTCACAGGGTGCCCTTGTGGCCTGGAGTTCAAGGCGCAGGCAATGAACTGCATCATCCCTGGTTTCATGTCAGGCACAGGGACTTATGTTGCATGTCCTTTCCCATCTCTCTTCACTCATTTCCTGTCATATCTCTACTGTTCTCTAAAAAAAAAAAAAAAAAAAAAAAAAAACATAAAATGCACCCCACAAAAATATTTCAATTATTTTCATGTAGTTTACAGTGTTCCCTGAGAGCCGTTACATCATGACTAATGGTTGCTGAACACAGCATATACTAAAGTGTTAACATGGAGCATCAGAGCAAGTAGTCAGCCAGGTAAACATTAGGGCTGCATGATATGGTACTGAAAGGTGGTGAAACAGTGGAGGATTAGTAAAAAATAAAATTGACAGATATTAAGATCTGAGATGTGCTTTACGATTAGTGGGAATTATCATTTTTGCATCACAATTTTTTTTTCCCGCTGAAAAAACATCATCAAAGATGATGATGAGACATTTGTTGGGGTCTGTAGCACACAAACATGTTTTTCTTACATCTGGAGAACAGGATTTATAGACCAGAGGATCTCTGCAGCACTTCATTATAATGCTCTTTTAACACACATTTTACATTCATCAAAAAATTTCAGTTTCCTCGGTTTGGATATTGCACCTAGTCATACTGCGATTCTGATAATATTTCAATTAATTGTGCAGCCCTAGAGGGGACAGACAATATCTACATTTCTGTACGTAACAAAGAGAACACTGTACTGTGTGGGCTAGCAGGCTTATTCAATTGTACTTGAATGACACTGCGCTTGGAATTGCTGCGCTGTAACAGTATTACTATTCAGTCTGGTCTGAGACAGCCAATTGTTGTTTCCTTTGTCCCAATATACTCTGCCACTACTGACCTCACCACCTCCATACTGCTGCAACATGCCCACTCTACAACAAATACCCTTCAGTACAACCGTGTGATTTCATATTCAGCCCTATCATCTATCCCCACTCATTCATGTGCTTTGCTTGTTTAGCCTCACAAAAACCATTGTCACCATCCCACTTGTGACCGATTCCTTGGTGCCTGTTGCCTCCCACAGTGGCTGGGATTTCATTGTGATCGAAGGGATCATTTTAGCAAGGAAAGACATAAAACTGCTAAATTAAGATTCATACTGTTGGGAAACACAGTGGGCTGCAGCTTCGCATACTGTTCCAGTTCCAAAGAGCGCTTTCAAGGGTCAACATAATAAAGATAAACCTAAAAAGCATGGTGTATTGGTTAAACAAACAAAAGAAATAAGTGTTCCAATCCTGAACTAATACTTATACTGCATCACGTTAAAGTTATTTGAGCACTGACTGAGCTGAATATGAGTGCTGTTGCTGTAAGATTGATGAGCCTACCTGCTCTCTGTCCCAGAGTATTAGTGGTGATGCGTGGGGTCATGTTGGTGATGGGTACGATGTTGCCCCTAGTGGAGGATGTTGAGGAGGTGGTGGTGCTGCGTCCATCCTTGATCTCGATGGTGAGGAAAGTCTTCATGTCCGGGTCTGCCTCTCCCTGGGTGACCTGCTGTCCAGCTGCTCTCCCTGGGGTTCTGTCTTCCTTTGAGTTACTGGAGGCGTGCACATCTTTTTCAGCTGGATGCCTCGTCCCACCCATGGAGTTCTGCCATTGGCTAGCTGAAGACAGAGGTCTGTTAGCCACACCTCCTGGCTCATTTATGGCCTGACTCTGGGATGCGGCAGAGGTGTGAGAGTCCACATGTGGCCTTGCTGGCCTGTCTCCAGATGTGCTGAGGGATGCTGCTGTGTGTGTAAACAGCTCAGTAGCTCTGGAGAGATTCGTCTGTCCACTGCTGCCGGAGGTGGTCCCATTCCTCAGAGGAGCTTTCTTCAAAGCGGGGACATTTAGGGTCTGGCTGGCCTCTGTGAACTTGCGCATTCGGTCACGTACAGAGTTGGTGCGGTTGAATTGTTCCAATATAACATCTTTCTTCTCAAGTGCTGTAAAGACATAATGCAGGAGGGGAGTTGAAAGACACTCACTCAGTACAGCACAGCCTAGAGCCTCTTGCTCTGCTCATCCAAATCAAAAGCCCTCTACAAATCCCATTCTTCTTTTTCCTCCTCTCTCTAGGTTTTGTTCCAGCCCCTTTACTTTGCTTGACTAAGCCTCCCACGTTTCACCACCTTTCAGTTCCTATTTTGTGGACTTTTCAGGACATGTTTCTTCCACTCATGGATATTTTTTCTTTCGCTGATCCTTAATAATGTCAGATAATGTGTGCAAAGCTCATGACTTGGCACAGAACCTCCAACGGAAAAAAAACACTAGTGATTAGAGTAAAGGATATTCACTGAGGTCATCCTAACAAAAGAAAAAAAAAAAAAGATGTGCCGCTTGGAAGGAAAACCACAGTTTACAGTACAGTGGACACAGCAAAGAGCACTGTCTGGTAAAAGGAAAGAAGATGGTGTATATTATAGCATGCCCTCTTCCCAGCTCTCTCTCCTGTGAGTAGAATGGCTGGAATTGTCTCCATATACTTCAGGTGATGAACCATCTGGTGTGATATTATCACACACTCTTAGGTTCCCTTGATGAAGATGACAAATTCATTATTTTCATTATGAATAAATCTGTTGGGCCCATAATATTAATAGTTGCTTGTTCTTTCCATTCAACAGTACTGAATGCAAACATATTTAATTAACAATGATTTAAAAGAGAGCAGCAAATCCTGACATTTGAGTGGCACGAAATGATGAGTGTTTGGAATTTTTCTTTGATAAATGTCTTAAAAGATCACCAAATTGGTGTTGATTGATTTTCTATTGATTAGTCAGTTCAGGACTAAGAGCTGGACTAGTTTCTTACCAGAATCCTTTGCTTTGCCATGAGTGAGGGGCAGGTCGCTGTTAATTGTTATCTAAAAAGAGGAAAAAACAAAGAAACATGACAATCAGTAGAGGAAGTAGAGGTGATTAAGGGTTAAGATGCCTGGATTGACATCCACAGACCTGCTATACTGAATGTCTCTACATTAAACAGGACAGCATTCAAAAGGCTACAGTCTGCATGGATAGCTGTTGTGACAACTACACACAGACCTACACAATCCTAAATACAGAATCGACCGATGGTGTTTTCATTATGTAACTTTTGTGTTTGGAGTGAAGCAGTGGACCTCTGTTCTTTTTTTAGCAGCAGGGCCATGGCGGGCCCCTTGATGTTTACATTACGCTCTGGAGACGGAGCATCAGCATATATTGCAGGGAACAATACAAGAGGTCCGGGGCCAGCCTTGGGTAAACACATTTAGATGAGCGACACAATGGCGTCATGGTGACCTCAGCCCCCAAGATGGGAAATGTTGTTTAACAGTTGTCAGTTCAGAAACGGCAGCTCTGTGTGTTGTGTGTTCTGTGTACTGTGCGATGAAGAGAGACAGAACCTCTGGCCCGTAACGCTGTCTATCCCTCTCTGACAGCAGGTGAGGATGACATGCTGAGGTGAAGCAGAGACACTCAGGTGCACAGTTTGTTTGTGTAGCCAAGTAACAAAAGTTAAACAGCACCTAACAGGAGCTCTGCATGGTGTGTTTATGGATGCCGATGTGACCTGGGTGTCACAGAAGAATGGAGTGTCGGGATTTCTCGTCAGGGATAATAATGAAATGGAAAGACAAAAAGGGAGAGCTTGGACTATTGTTGCATTTGACAGTGGCAATGTAGCTCAACACCCCACTCTAGTGGTGCAGCTATGATAGGCACTGTGTGTCAGCTGGCTGAAACTGGTCTGAGATAAAGATGGGTGACAATGAAAAGAAAAGGCAACCGTCTATAATGCCATATAGCATAGATTCTACAAGTCTCTGTAACTCTACTGGAGGATGTTCTTCCAGTAGCTATTCCCTCATGTGGTGTTTTTTTAATGCATTATTAATATTTTTTTTATTACTAAAAAGGAAGAAAAAAGGTCTATCAGAAATACTCCTTTTCCGGTCAGCCGACAAGAGAGAAAGTCTTGTTTGATTGACAGCAGCTGGCAGGCTGCCATGCAGTCTGTGTAGACCATTGTAGAGATCAACAGACAAAGTAAACTAACTTGCACTGTAGCCTACATGTCACGGGCAGACAACATGTGTGGTACTGAAGTGGTACTGAAGATTAAGGACCACACCAGCATTGAAGTTGAAGTGACATTTGAAGGTACCTTTACATGATGTTTAATGTGATGCAGGTGAGCAACCAATCAGTTATCTAGCCTGCAAATTGACGTTAGCAGCTTGCAGTTTGCGCTATTCCCTAGTGAATGCTAGTACGCTTGTTAAATCACCAACAGTGCAGGGCCAGGCATGTGTTCATGTCTGTAAGTTAGATAAGAAGGAGACTTTAGCAGGAAAGTTAATATGGGTTGTTGTTCAGAGTATGTGGCTCTTGTGCTGTGTAGAAGGTAGCTGTTTGGTTCAGTGTGACCCTCTGCTCGGTCTATGTCAGAAAGCTGACGTTACTGCTTTATGCAAGATCTGATCGGTTGTATTGAAATAATATACATTAATACCACATTAATGCAAAACTAGGTGGCGCCCTCATGAAGACAAAAATGTCAGATGAAAAACAAATAGACCATTTGATACAAGGACTGTAGATTCTACCTTTTGCTTCTGGAAGTCGGTTTTTCCCTTGGCACTGCCATTGAGCAGACCATTTGCAGGATCTCTCCGAGATAAAACTGCCCCATCTGGCTGCTCCTGGTCAATGACGTGGTCTTGGTTGGACAGAGTCTGGAGGTCGGCTGGATCGCGGCTTCTGCCTTCGGTTTCTGAATCTGTGCTGTAAGTTGAACCACTTGTGGCGACCTCCACCTCCTCTGCTGGACCCCTCTCCTCAGAGGACATACTCACACTCTGGTCAGATGTTCCCGAGTCAGTCCGTTTTCTTGACAACAGACCAATGCTGTCTGAAGCCCCAGAGCCAAAACGGGGTCTGACACCAGAGTCAGAGACATCTGAGCCCAGTCTCTGTCTGAGGTGAGAGCTGATGCTTTGCTCTGATGCCCCAGAGTCTAGCCGACCACGCTGCAAGGGACTCTGGCTCCTGTCTGAGGCGCCAGAGTCCCGCCGGGCTCTGTAGGCTGAGCCCAGACTCTTCTCTGAGGCCACAGAATCCAGATTGGACCTGGATCGCACTGAGGTCACACTGCGGTCTGAAGCTGAAGAGTCTGACCTTTGCCGATGAGACAGGACCAAGTCGGGCTCAGCACTCACAGCTTCTCTTGGAGGCTGGATCAGCAGAGGTCCAGAGCCATCATCCTTCACCAGGTGATCCAGAACCAACACCATGCCTGAGTTGGAGCCTGCAATAGAAAACACAAATAAAACTTGAGCAACAAAGGCCTTTATGTACCTTGTGGCTCTTCTGATTTTTTAAAAACTGATTTTATAGTCACTTTTATTCTTCCTCTCACATCAGTAAAAAACTGTGCGAAGTGAAAAGGGTTTGACTGTATTTGAGCAAAGGAAGCAGTAGGTGATGAAGCTGCAGAATGAAATGATGGAAATGAAATACTTCTGCGGCAGCGGGGCCCCACGAGAGGCCGGGCAAAAAAATATCACTCGGGATCACAGAAGAGGCACGTGGGATGTAGGCATTTCCTCCAGACTGGCCTGAGTTCCTGAGCGAGATTTGTGAGATTGTGTTGGTGGATGTGCTTAAAAGAGAAGGAGTGGTCACAACTGAAGAGAGGGAGCATGTGGCACAACCATAGGTGGTGAGCAAGTACAAGGAGGAAGTGGGGGTGAGGAAGACAAGCACTTCCCCTCCCCTCTGTCAAAGTTCCTTCACTGCTCCTTCTCTCCTCAGGAAACCACACTCCAAACAACACAGAGGTGCCCACATCCTCCCCTGTGATAGCCTCAAACACCCCATGGTGTTTCTAGTATTGGAATATCTGAGGTTGTGTACGTACCGCAGATAACGAAAACAGAGAAAACCAAGAGAGTATCCGATTCCCACATCCCATGTACACACCAAGGCATGAAAATACTTCTGCCTGAACTGTGTTTGCACCAACTCTGCAACCAAATGGGGTTCACCAAGGATGCACGTCTGCCATTTACAAACCGAATCAAAGAGAAGCTTGATCAGTAGCCGCAGCAGTCTCTTTCAACTTTCAACAAGAAAGGACCCAAGTGAACATTCATAGCTTCATTTAAGGCAGCTGATCTTTTTTTTCTTTTTTTTATTGCGTAACAACTCCTCCAAAAGGATGCTCGCTAAATTGTACACAATCAATTTACAAATGACATCAAGTTGTTGATTAAACAGACCAGATGATTATGTAATACAGTCTAAATAGAAAACATGATTATGATACACAATTTGGACAATAAACGGCTGCCATTCTCACATGTGACACTATGAATGGTCCCCTTGACAGTAGCGTCTATATCTAATGATGAACTCAACCCAAACTCAATTACTGCTCAACTGTAACTGAAGTGAAAGCCAAAACTTGCTGCTTCTTTTATGGACGTTATTGTTCATGTTTTGCCATTGACGAGCTGTCATGTCCATTGTGTGGCAATTTCTGGGAAAATCCCCACTGCTACTGGGTAATGAGAGGCTTGCTTTTTGTTTGAAAATAGCTACAAAAGCAGTCTAAACATGTACACTGTGCTGCCAGTCAATTTATAGAGCACAAACAATGGCCAACCAAGGGTTTTTTTATGTACTTGTTTCGCACTGAAGCAATGACCCAAGGAAAACTCACGTGTTGACGCACGTCAACACAGGTTTGCGGATGACCTAGGTGACAGGTTTAAATTGAATAAATTTACTGTTACTATAAAATTATTGTCTTGGCTGCAACTTGTAGCTCAAGATCACATGTTTTAATCAAGTTGTTGCATTAGCTTTTCATAATGTTAAATAAATACACACTTAGACGTTAAAAAAAAACCCAGCCTTTTACAACAAGCATTTAATGATTTCAATCTTGTACAGTTCCCAAGCAAAGCCTACTCTTGACTCCTTGTCACAGGTTCCATTTGTCTAATAGATTTTCAGACAGAGATTTCAGAAATGCCACAAAAGTGCTATAGTTGCAGACCAAGGTCATTTTTTATATATAGTAATATACAAGGTGCTCAGTCCTTTGTGTTCTTTATAGGTTTGTGTGTGAAATTGGCATTAGTGTCAAATTTTAACTTGAAATTTCTCTCTTTAGGGAATGTAAGGCACACACCACATTCACTGAGTCTCTACAAACATTTAATTTCCTAAATCACAGCCTTACCAGTTACAGTTTGCACTAAAACGCAGTACATCTGGAAACATGGTCATTGAGGTAAATTATTGTAAATATAAGCTTTTTTTGTCTGAGAGGCAGAGGTATATGTTTGGGCTATGTTCAAAGACCAAAAAGAACCCGTCACTGATTCTTCAAGTCAATCTCTTATTTTCTGCTACTTTCATTCTGTTCAAAAGACAACCACCCCTCCAAGAACCACCGGCCCACCCCTGGCTATGCTGTCCTTTCCCAACCACAAACGTCCATGTCTTTGTTGATTGGTGTCCACTTTAAAATACGCCTTCCCCCTTTGCTTTTCTATGGTGGTCTTTTTTTGTTCACCCTAGCTTCACCCTGGTTTAAATTGTAAGGCAGGGATAAATCAGGAACAGTGGGGAGTTTCTCCGCCAAGTCAACTAGGCCTTAGTTCTGGTATCAGCTTTATTTAGCAGAGGTGTGGCTGTTGGGTTTCCCACTGTTGCTTCCCATAACCCCACCACCAACGCTGGGTCCATGAGAAGGACACTGGAAGCCAAGTCCAGGGTAGACCAGGCCACACAGAATCACATTATTATGGCCGTAGGCCACAGGCCAACTTCAGGTCAGCCAGGCCCGGGTTTAAATAAAAGAAGAAAACCCCTTTTCATCTTCAGCCAAGGAGGATCAAAGTTAAATTTTTTGTCCTATATGAATGGGATTATCCAATTAATAGTTGGCCCTTAGGTGATTAAATTGAACAAGCTTTAGGTAGGTTTATGATTTGTCAACAATGCACTTTTGACGTTTAACATCTATTCATCGTCAACTCTGTGCCTGCTAAGTTTCAAGGATTCAAGTGAATGAAGCATATTCATTCCCCTCTGAAGGCTTGCATTCTTACCACTTTATTAATGGTTGGGCTGACAGAGTGGTTAATTAAACCACTTCACACTTGCAAAGTCAAAGTCATTAAGTGTATGGCTGTGAGTGACTCTAAACAGTTAATAAAGTTGGATGAAGGAGCTTAAAGAGCCTGAACTAATATGACCCCCTGACCGCCAGCTCAGGAGAATGGCTCCTTCAGCTGACTATTTTAACAGGCAGCAAAGAGGAAATTGCATCAAGACGGATGTATGGAATCACACGTACATGCAACAGAGGTGGTCTGTGTTGTCTTCAAGTTATAAGTGCCTAGCCAAACTTCACCTTTAGGTGATTTTAGATGTTTACAGAATATAAAATATTTTTTGTTTCAATAATTCCATCATGTGTAGCTACAAATGATGTGGTAACTGGTGGTGTATAGCATGCACACCATACCTGTTAGGGAGTAGGTCTACAGATGGAATGAGCAGGTCACAAGCAATTTGGCACTGAACGAGTGTTTCTCACCTAGTCTCTGTAGCTCTCTGCTATGTTGTGTCTGCTGGCCGCGTAACTCCCGGATCTGAGATCTGATACACTCTGGCTCCCTGCGAGTCTCCTGCTCTGTATCCTGTACAAAAAAAAAAAAGAAAGGAAAGAACCACACATGCTCAGTGCATTTTAATAAACCTCCAAAAGTATCACACTCTTTAATTTCCCAAGTCACGTTGTCTTTAGGTTTTTCTTTGGGACAAACTGCCAACCTATTCGTCTGATCAAAACCAGAGTGAACACATCAGTCCTTAGTCTTTTTTTTTTTTTTTTTTTAGATTGAGGTCAAATGCTCAAGCCATGTTGAGCAACATGCGTGGCCAGCTGGAAAAGTAAAAATCTTTTCTATTTACAATTGTCTATGTCTGACAGAGAGTGAAAGTGAGTGCCAAAACAGCCAACACATACAGGCAGTGTTCGGTTCAATACTGTGTTATATCTCTTCTTCCCAACCTGACTTTACTTGGGTAGTTCCTACTCCTTCAAAATTACCTACAATCTGACTGTAGCACATAATACAGTTCTTACTGTGGCACTCTGGCCCTAACTTGCATTGATATGAGGAAAGTCACAGCAGGAGGAAGATCACGGAGGAGAGGCAGCTGTATTTTTGCATATGGAGAGGAAACAGGAGAGGTGCGGAGGGGAGGACAGAGGGGGAAAGACAAAGATGCCGGCACTACTGTTAGGCCTCTGGTGCCTGACCATGAGCTACTCCACAGGAGAATCAGCTGCACAAACAAGGCTCCCCCAAGCACGTGTGCACACACACTCTTTAAATCACTCCCACACATATTCTTAATCCACAACACTGAGAGGACTTGCAAACTTCTCTATTAAAGGGCATAAAGTTCTTGTGTGTGGAGCTTCAGGTGGTATGCATCATTCTGTCGTGCATTTGCAAAGACGAACAATATCACAGCACATCATCTCCTTAAAGGTGTTGTACAAGAGGCATCTGAGTTACGAATAGTCCAGATGTTCGGGTGGAACCTAAAATAAAATATACAGGACATGACCTTACACAATGAAAACATAATATGTTCAGATTTACAGCCTACTATTACTTCAAAACGCCTCTGAAAACACATTCACAAGCTTTCAAGCAAGCGAAGAAAGCATACACACCCAACCACACAATCACACGCCATTATCAGTTTTCCATGTCTAAACAATGTTACCCTACACAAGAGTGACTGGACCGGTTGTCAGCAGCAGCTACGGTGTGAAAATCTTATTAATAAACGTGTTTTTTTAAAAGGCTTTTAATCAATACAGTGTGTGATCAGAAAGAGGAAGCGAGTTTAAGTGGTGACTAAACACAAAGCCCATTCGAATCTAAACACAAGTGAGAGGAAGAGGTGAGAAAGGACGGGAGGCTTTCTGCTCTGTTGACTGTGACCTTCCCCACCTTGAGCAGATTACAGGGCAGAGCGGCTCAATCACTGAGGAGAAAATGTAATCAGACACTGTTGCAGGCAGCACAAAGAGGAAAGGTGAATCTGGAATGGCACTGCTGCGGGTTGTAAACAAAAGACACCGCACGTTTAAACGGATCACATAATGTAGTTAGGTAAGATTTTTTAAAAATTCATTAAATAATAATTAAGTGAAGCTTTGTTGCCAAAAATCGACCAGGAGGAAAATCTTCACAAAAAGCTAGAAAACTGAAATATTACATGTGACATCACAGCAATGTAAATCTACATAGAATGTCATTTTTTCCATGCCTTCCATTTTTTCCACATGGAGCAAAAAAACCCTAAGTAGCAGCACAGATTTTGGGGCTTAAAATAGTCTGCTCAGCTTTTCAAGTCAACATCAAATATTCCTCATGCAGGCTGGGATGCTGCAACTCAGAGGAATGCTCATTTAATGGGTCATTACAGTCTCTGATGAGTTTGGAGGACACAAACAACACAAAAGACTAAAGACACTACACTGTAGTAATGCGAGAGGTCACACACAAAAGGGCAATCTCCTTCTGAGTGGAGTCACACAATCAAAGAGTCACAGGGGGAGATAATTGTGTTTGAGCCATAAACACAATTAGAGAGGACAAGTCTCTCCTCACCCACCCCTCCTAAACCTCTCCTGCTTCTCTACCAGGAGTCAGACAGACAGCCGTCATTTCACAGCTCCCACTAAACCACAGGGAACATATTTCTCACAGACAGTGAGGCAGAAGAGAAAGAAAATAGGAAGATAGAGTGGAACTGGAGACGCAGACCAGAGCTCGGGACCTGCTGCCAGCCACCGTGCACTCATTAGTGGCTTCACTCTGGCCCCAGCAGTCAAGATCTGACAAAGTGGGACCAACACTGACACCATCCCACTCATCCCATCTGGCCTCAGGAGCCTGTTTGTGTTGGACTGTAATTGCAAAAGTTCAAACCGGTAAACACAAAAACAACTGTCCTCTCATGACCACAGCAAGGCGTGGGCCATCTGGATTCCTGTGAAGCCTCAACACCACAAAAAGTAACAACAATGAGGCTGAGGCACACACCTCGTCAGTCAGCTGAGCTTAACACACTGGCTTGCTATGCTCCAGTTTTTCCATGAAAGTTAAATCCATCACTACACTGGTATGGTCAGACCATTTGAGGGTCTTCCATGCCTCCATGTGGAAGAGAGAAGAGACCTGGCGGCTCATTTTCCATTACTGCAGCATGAGGAGCCACACACTCGGCTCACCTCCAATAACTGAAATACAGTAGCTGGAATGAAGTAGCAATCATCTCAGTATCATACACACTCAGTCTGGAGTGAGGGAACCCACAGAAGGCTCAGCCCTGAGCCTCATTCCCATTTTTACTTACTGCACATCATCACAAGCTAAACGTACTTCATGGTGTTCTGTCAAAGTGGATCCACTGTATTCGGATCCACTGTATTTTTTTCCCCAGCAATCTCATCCCCACAATCCGCTAAACCCTCTATATCACAAATGCCGGGCCCCGTTTAAGATAATTAAGATACTCTTTCTTCAGGTCTCTTCTTGCAACATGTTTATGATGAGATCTGAGAGCAAACAAAACTCTGGAGTTGCAACACCCATCCTCCCAACTGCCTTCCCGAGCTCTCCCCACACACCTAGACAGCATGCAAGCCTGTAGCCTCAAAGAGACAACTTGAAACAGATTTGAATCACTATATACATTTAAACTACAAGCATTAAATATTCAAGATTTTTCTTTGTCTAGAATCCTTACCAAGGTATTGTAATTTCACAATTCTGCATATCAATGGCCCAGTTTCATCTCACACATTAAAAAGGTCTATGTCTGCATACTCAGAGTTAAACTGTCAACTTAAGGGAATAAAAATTATCTAACTCAGCAATAAACCATTAGATACACAAACCTTACAAGGTAAACAGAGAGGCAGGTAGGTCCCATTCTTCAGTCAGACATAAACAAGTGCTGGTTTATGAGGATAGATTGTTCAAATTGCCTTTTAGTGCAAAAAATAATAAGAAAGAAATCAATAAAGAAAGTCAGAGAGGAGCCTCTGGTGTGTGACACACGACAGCAGAAAAATCATAATGACATATACCTTCTCTTCACTGAACCGACTGCCTGTCTCTCTCTATCCCTCTCTCTGCAGTAACCCTCTTGGAGTCAGGACGTCCGCTTTTCTGCCGCTCTACTCCCTCAGCCACATCATACACACTCACTCACACTCACAAAAACACGCACACCACCAACACCACACACACACACACACACACACAATACCAACAAGCCACTCCCTTGACTTCCCCTCCCTCCCTTTCTGTCTCCACAGGGATCTGACCCCCACCACACACGCACACTTTCCTTACAGGTTAAAGGGTTGCCTGGTTGACACATTAACTTCTGACACACTCTGCCTTTGTTTTGATCTCTTTTTTTTTGTTATTTCTCTAACGGCAGTATTATTGGAGATATTTTACAGAAACAGAATCTCATTTACATTATTGAATATTTGGCACTTTTTTATGTAACACTAATGAATAAAGATAATTTTTCCGACAGGCATTTTACATACATATAATTAAAGTTTTTTTATAGACTGTTACAGTATGGTTTCTCCCAAATGAGCAAAAGGAAACTTTTACTGTGTATCAACTATCCCTGAATGTCAAATGTGCCCATTAAATCATTCATTAAATCAAGTCATTAACTTCTAATGGATGTTGGATTCTGGTAAAATTACAGTTGAGCAGCTACATTAATGCACTAATTAAACACGCATATACTCCATATATTTTCCATCTTAAGCTTTTGGTACATGAGTTCTTGAGCTGGTGTTTCTTTCAAGCTGCTGGCAGTGTACACATATTTTTGTTCATGTTTGGCTGCTGCGGAGGCCTATCTGGGACCTCCATCTGCCACGGGACAATTGCACGCAGCTCAAAGAGATCCGTTGCCGTGATGTGAGTGGAAGGAGTCATGCTGCTGCTGGTTGATGTTGTTTTTGGCCACGTCCCCATTCCAGCGCAGACTACACGGCTGAGGCACAGCTGGTGGGCTGCCGGTCTGTCTGTCTGCCCGCACTCCCACCCCCACCCAGATCTCCAACCTCCCTCATCCATCACACCGCCTGTAGCTCACAACCCCACCACTGTACCGCTCAGCTGTCTTGTAGGAAGTGAGGTAAAAAGGCTTTAATGTTAGAGCATCCTGTGACGCCAACATGCTATCATCACTTCCTATATGGGCACAACACACACACACACACACACACACACACGCAAAGCACAGGCTGCAACAGACAATGGGGCTGATACTAAGAACCTAAGAAAAGTTGATTTCACTTGAACCATTGAACTTAGGTTATTGTATTTTCCTTTTAAGCATAGATACTGTAGGTGTTTCTCTACTTCCATCACTCAGAAGGTTAAAGTAACAACAACAGTGACTGCATACAGTAAGAATTAACTTTGTTTTCCTCCACATAATTCTCAACCGCTGGAAACAGAGCAGTCGTCAAAAAACTATGATCACAGCTGATAAGATAGCATCTGGCTCCTGGCAAACTCTCCCAAACAGTTAAAGCCTCATGTCTTCACATGTTCACTGCAACATCCATATTATACAATCCATTACGCTGAAAAATATTGAAGTTTAGTTCAACTCTGAAAACGCAGTCCTTCATCATCCACTAGAGGGCCAGTGCAACACCACTATTAAAGTATTTGATCAAATCAGACAAAATTTAATTAAAAGTCTTTAAACTCTTTGAACTTCTCTCTCTCTCTCTCTCTCTCTCTCTCTCTCTCACGCACCCTCCACTCCAAACGTTTTAAATTTCAGCGTGGAACTGTCTCAAAGGGTGAAGGGCTGCACAGATGAGTGCAAAATGATAGTGGCTGTCAAAAAGAATTTACTGCCTTCACCAAACAGCAGGCTAAAAGTAAATTGTATATTTCTCCTCATACTTGACCAAATCTGAATGAGGATGTAAAAAAAACAAAAAAAACACATTCCTTGCTCTGTGGAGCCCACAGCATATGTTGTGTGCGAGTGTGTTGTGTGGTGTAACCACATTCATGGCACAGTGTGTGACTTGATTCACAATGCCTGTTGTTGTTTGCTTCATTCTTCATCATGGCGGCAGAGAAACCTCAGTGGCCACTGTTGCCAAGTAAATAAACTCAGCATCCGGAAATTGGTCTGGTTGATATGTGTATGAATATTGGACAGTTTCCCCGTTAGCTGTAATGTGACGTTCAGACTATATCAGAATAATGCTGTGACATGTAATCATTTCTCCTCCTTTAAATAACACTGGTCTGCTGTACTCACCCCAGTACCCATGCTTCTCTGGGGCTCCACACTCTCAGGCTCCAGGCAGCGATCAGGAGCTTTACCCCGCTCCACAGTCCCTAAACACACACACACACACACACACACACACACACACACCAGTGGCGATAATTAGAACACAGTAGATGACCCATTATCCCATCTTAAGTCAAACTTCTGGTCATTTGTGAAGGAGGAGGAGCCTGGGCAGTCTGTATGCATCACAGTGTCTCAGTGTGACTGAGGTCTGACGCACACCAGACAGGGCTAATGAATGACAGAAATCCACTATCTGAATCCAGCAATACAGGTAGATCTACCACGTAACTATGGCGATCACAGACAGACCGCTATCTCTCCCACATCAATTATGCATTCAAACTCATAAACAATGTGTATTTACTCCCAAGGTTTCTTAAAACACTATTATAATGTACTAAATAAAAAATTAAACTGGCAGTTAAGGAGTTTAACAACATAATTATGACCCCAAAATCTTCCATTTTGACCTTTGACTATATTTACAGCACCTTCTTCAGATTAATCAGTGTAAGATGCCTGAGCACAGTGATAAAATGCATCATCTGCTTAAATGTTTTGTTACAATCACAAAACTGGTGCCTCCCTTCCTTACATCTTTCTGCATCTTAACCAGACAAGTGGCATCATATTTAAACAGACACACACAGACACATCTTGAGTGCATTTTATCAAACAGCTGGGCTCACCTTGCTGCTGATCTTCTCGGATTTGTCGAATAGCTGCTCTGATCATCTTCCTCTCCTCGTACTCGCTGGCGGCACGGAGCTTCACGCAAACGGACACAAAAAATCTCAGTACACGCACGACAAGCATGCAGTGTCACGCTGTTTCATGAGTTCTGGCCATTAACACTCACCATTTTCGTGAGCTCATCGATGTCCTGGATTGACTGCAGCTTTTGAGACAGGACGTCCAAGTTGTCGCTGGATTGTGACCTGAGAGAGAGCAAGACAGTGAAGTGTTTATAATGGAGGTCATTATGACTGACCTGTAGAGGGTGACACTGACTCTATCCTGAGGCGTCTCTGTGCATGTCAAACACAGCAGAAGACAATTCCAAGATAACACACTTTTCCCATCAGAGGAAACACAACCAATTTAAGCGTGACACTCTGGCGTAACAGATTTAAAAGCAATGGCACACAGCGCCTGAAAAAGGCCGCTCTCATCCTCCCTCTATTCAGCCTCATATTTCCTCATTTCACTGCTCGCTTGTTTCTATTACTCATACTCTCCTCCAATTCTCCTCCTTTGGTATTAAAGGATGTGTGGCACATTGGAGTGGAATATTTTACATTCCACTGGTGAGAGGCACCGGATAATGCAATTTTTAGACGTCTTGTGTGTGTGTGTGTGTTTGTGTGTGTGCGTACTGCATTTGCTACAGTTTGCTTCCTCTAGTACCTTCAGTGAGGCACCACCTTCGTTACTGAAACCCAAGTCTTCTGAGAGCAGCAGTGAATGGAAGTGATTAAACCCAGCCACTGGTCTTAACGGTGACAGAGAAAGAACGACAGCAGAAGGTCTCTTTGCTGTGCTTCAGTCCAGACATTACCAGTCATTAATTAACGCTTGTAACAATACTCCATCCATCCTGGTCTGTGGAGGTCAGGATTCCATCCACACAGAGAAAAAAAACTTCACAACATTAAAACTTTAAGTTCCCATATTATTAGACTTATTGGATAGATTTTGGTAACATGAGGTTTGATAAAGAGTTATATTCCACTAAGGCTCTTTAAAATACAGATAATCAAGTTTACAGTAACATAATGTTCTTCAATAACTAAAGTCTGTTTGTCCTGTTCCTCATTCCGACTGCCAACAAAAAAACCTGTAAATTGACAAAAGGTTGTTGATCGACATTCCTCCGCTAGATTATAGGTGCTGGGAATTGATAAATCACTGAGAAGGCTGACAAATGCTGACAGGTTATCTGACATAAGGACAAAGTGAAAGTATTTATTGTGACGTGCAGACACAATGGAAAAGGGAAAATTTACTGTGGTTGCAGTTTTCTGTCCCCAATGATCCTCCCGACGTGACTTTCCAGACTTCTCTCTTTTCCCACTGGAGTTGAGGAATGCTGCATGTCTGTTTGACCATTTTCTCAGCATCTCCAGTTTACCTGCACTGGTGCGGTTTGTCATTAGGAAAGGTCTGTCTGTCTGTCTGTCTGTCTGTCTGTCTGTCTGGTCTTACCTGTGCTGGTTCTCCTTGTCCTCCTGCTGTTTGAGGAGTGTGGGACGAAATCTCTTGCTGGCCAGAGCGGCCTCCAAGTCCTCTATCTCCCTCCTCCTCAAGTCCCGGATGGCTGAACGGATGAGGCGCCTCTCGTCCAGATCTACAGTTCCATCCAGCTGCATGTGCAACAAAAAAACACAAACAAAAAAAGGGCAAGAAGATGAATTCCAAGTGTTAAAAGTGTGCACAACACAGCAAGATGGCAAACATTTGGCTTGTACAGATAAGCTCATATCTGCATGTGTGAGCGAGTACACCACAGAAACATGGCGAGGAAATGGCCAGAGTTACATAAATCCACTGCTACAGTAAAGGGTCACAGGCTTGTTCTCAGTGTAAGTACAGAGCTCATATCGTAGAGCCATAGCTATAACGTCCTTCAGTCAACGTCTTCCGCCCTCTGTAATTAAACCCGCCAAATAAGGACCATAGTGCACTTGTTTACCAGAAAGGCCAGACTTTGAGCCAATTGGCCATAACACACAGCTGTGCCGCCAGAGAGGCAGCGTATCCTAAAAAGTTCAAAATCCACCTTCAGGGGAATTTTTGCGATGCGAGAATTATTCCTAACGTTGGTGATCCCCTGACTTTTACTCTAGCGTCACCAGCAAGTTGACATTTGTTGTTCGTCAGCGAGTTAGCATTGTCCTTGTGATCTTGTTAGAATGCTGATCTGGGCATTTAGCTCAGATCAGCATGCTAACAGGCTCACACTATGCTTAAGTTCAGCCTCATAGATCTGCTAGCATGGCTGTAGCTGTTAGTTTAGTTATTTGCTGCAGCTTTAAGCAGAGCCATAGCTGACAGATAAGCGGACAGAAGTGTGTCATCCTGGTGTGTGACATCCTGACAGTATTAGACTAAACTGCCCTGGCTTAGTTTTAAATGTATGGTAAGGAGTTAAGGGGTCAGCAGGGTCGATGAACGGCTTATAGACTGGTGATGACAAGTGATCTGACTTCACTAATGTGAAAAGACAGGACCACCTGAGAAAAGGTGCACAAGATAAGAAACAGGCACGCCAACAGCTGGTGCTCGGCTATAAGAAAGAAGCGAGTTTAGCTCTCCGGGTCAATCCATCACCCAGGTGTCTTCTTCTCTGGCTGTAATTCATCTTGGTTAAACAGTAGCCAGGCTGCAGGGCCCCCACAGAGACTCAGATGTCAAAGTGGCTCACTTAGAAACACTCACTGAGCCATTTCATCAGCTCTGAGTGACTATTAGTTTACAGGTTTATTTTTTTCCAAGCAAAACAGGAGTAATTAAGGTGTGTGTGTGTGTGTGCAGCACGGCTGCAGACAGACACACCAATCAGCAAGCTGGATGCTTTCATGTTAGCGACAGCGGTGAGCATGGGAGGGCAGAGGGAGCCCCCTCCTGTCATGTGAGAGAGAGAGATCTCTCTTTTGGTCGGCAGTGGGAACCTGTCAGCACATGCAGAGATGAGCGGCTGCTGCTTTCTGATACACTTCATGCACAAACACACACTTTAAGGTTCCCTGCTGCATCAGTTAAAACCTGCAGAGTCGAGACACAGACCTTTGCATGGCAACTGGTTTCTACTAGAGGGAGCTAGACGCGGTTGTTAAACTAAGCCTTACACCCTGATGGGTTGAAAAGGGGGTTGATGTCGCCCCCCCCCCCCCCCCCCCCCCCCCCCTTGCAGGGCCGGGAAGGAGAAGGAGGGGAGGTGTCTCACAAGAGATGAAGAGAGCCAGTGGTTTTGAGGTCTCGCTGTGGTTTCACAAAGTATGCAGTCCGAGCTGCACTAGCTCACAGGGCTCTCCTATATACTGTAATTTGTGGAAATGTAATGTGCTGAGCTGACTGAAAATAATGGGTAAGAGGAGAAAGCACTCAGAAAAGAATAAAAGGACATGGGGAAAGCGGAGAAGGATAAGAGGGGAAAGCAAAGCGGTTAACAGGGTGAAAGGATGACAAGTGAAAAAGAGAAAAATGAAAGAGAAGCTGGACTTGGCTATGCCTAAAAATGGGCAGATGAGAGCTGGGTGGGAAAGGGCCAGGCTTCGTACAGGTCATTCCTCACATTCCTGCTGACTCACAAGGAAAGAGATGGTAGTGAAATCTGCCGATCAAGAACTGGGGTTGGGTCAAACCCAGCAATGAAATGATGCAACAACCAGGAGCTTTTGATTTTGAAGCAAGGAAATCACAAGCGGAGAGACGAAATGAGAACACATTTGCTCATTTCTATCATTGTCCATCTGTCTCCCTCCCATGCCTATACTCACAAACACACACTAACCAAACACCCGAGGGAGCTGTCCATTACCACACTGTCAAGCTTACTGCTGAATGAATGTCATGATGTGATTATACAGCCAGTTCGCTGCCAAGTTTTAGGACTGACTGATTATATATATATATAAAAATAAATAAAAGATAGATATAACAGAACAGCCTCAAGCCTGGGCCTCTACTCAAAAACAGTAACTTCTGCTAAGCATTTCAAAACAGGCTGCATTTTTTGCCTACATACTGTCCATATCAGTTTAAACATAAAGCAAAGCCACATAATAAAATGTTTAACAAACAAAAAAAAGGGCCAAGGACGACTCCTAAACTCAGACCTGTCCAAATCAGTTACAGTTATCTTTCTAAATACAAACACAGCAAGAGGAATTAAAGTCATGATGTGATGATAAGAGATGAAAAACAATCCCTACATGTGCACATCAGCACTTTGACTTTTACCTGTTCCAACGCAAGACATTTTAAATGGACCAATCAGTGTCCAGATGGCTGCACGTCAAGTCAGTTTGGATTGGTGGCAACATGTATTTACTGAATTCAACTGGCCATCCCAGCTGGCACAAGGCCAGTGGCTGTAACTGACTTTTCCTTTACATATTTGAAAAGAGGAAAATAGAAGTCGTCGACCAATAAACTCCCTGCACAGGAAGGTAATGCGTGGGCGTAACCCAAGCAAATAAAACACACCTTACACTTGGGTGCCTGCCAATGAAAACAGAATAACTGTTAAAGTACCAGACACGGAAACACGCACTCGTGTAGACAGAGTCCATTTGACAAGACCGCCACATGAAATTGGTCTTTAGAGAGTGAACTGTGTCGGGGGGGTGGGGGGGATCAATCCAGTTACACAGTGACAGCACAACACCAGTGACCATCTGTAAAGGCATTTTCCAAACCAAGCCACAGACATCTGGGTAACCAACTGTCACTGTGGCTCAAAACAACAACAACACTGTGGCCCAGAGAGCAGCCGTTGTACCCAGACAGTCAGCTTTTCACGCCCTTTACTGCTAACAGATGAACGAGTCAGAAATGAACACATAACAAATAGATTTCGCACACAAACATGTTCTACTGAAAATGATGCAGTCATCACTGAGCTGTCAGCACCTGTGACGACATGGTGGGGGGGTACTCATGATACAGTCTGGTCTGCTGTACTTAATGAAAACTCATCACCAGCTCTGAGGAAGCTACTGTGACACCTGTTGGCCTTTCACCTGACTCAGCTGGTGAGACACAATGTTAAGAACAGGATGGAGGGGGTGTTTATGCCGGGGTGAGGAGAGAAAAGACTATCCTGTAGAAACTGGAATAACTGCTTCAAGGTACTGATAACAGATTGGTATTCCCAACTTGATGTTCAAATGCACTTACTCACTGAAAGTGCATTGAGAAAATGATTGCCTTATTTGGAAGGAATCCTACAGTGGTGAGGAGCAAGATACAAGTTTTAACATTTCACAAGCAGGCCTGCTAAGGCTTGTACAGCTGGTTCATTTGAGTCACTTCCTGCTGGGTGGAAGATTTCTATGGAGTAAAAACCTCAAACCTATCCAAAGACATCCGGCTAAAGAAGCTCAATCAATCACGGCCAATTAGAAAGCATTCATGGTTTAGCAGTAATCCTGACCAGCTGGTGACACACTCCTGAGGACAGAACACACTCTGAACTCATCTGCTACACATGAGAGAAACAGATATAAATATGGTTTTTCAGTTGGTTTAATTTATTGCGCCACACATGGAAACTGCCTCAGAAGTGGTCAAATATGGCAAGAACTCAAGGTTCTGCAGGTAATTGAAATATACTGAACTACTATTTAGTGGGTTTGCCATCCATTGCTGAGCTAAATACACAAGCTGCAACAACTACCTGTGGGCGTAGCACTGGAAGAGGATTAGGTTGAACCTGTGGAAGTGAAGAGTCACAAACTCTCAGCTACATTACTGTGCAAAGAGAAAGCAAATAAGCTCAGATTTGTCTTAATAACACCCCTCTATTCTTCTTCATTAAAACATAGTCATAGCAATTGAAACATGAATTAATGTTAATTAACCACTTGTGATATCTAAGCTATGTCTCTGTACAATGGGCTGAATGGTAACACGTTAGTTTGTAGATTAGTAGATATATAACACATCCTTTATTTTTAGTACAAATAAAAAAATGTGTCTGCAGCACCAAGAATCTGAACCTGTCAAGTATTGAAAGTCTCATTCTGGTAAAGATATTATAACTACTACTAGTACTACTATATATGCATGTGTCTCTAGCTGTGTTGTGTGCTGTGGTTTACAAAACGGCAGGTCAAACATCACAGCACGGTGTGTAGATGACATCCTTCACCCTCCCACACATAAGACCCCTCAGGCCAAGTCTCGACCTTTTGACTCCCAGCGGGTGTGCACGTGCTTGGCTGATTTTGTACTCAACACTTTCTACTTTGTGACCTATGACGTTTCGAGCAAATTCCCTGACACAAAAGGAGTGTGTATACTTTCTGCAAGAAATGTGTGCAAGAGTCCACATGCATAGGTAAGAATGGGGGGGGGGGTAAACTGTGTGTTTGCGCATGAAATGAGGGCTACAGTAATAATTTCCAGAGCAGGCTGAGGTTAGAGTGTAGTCAGGCAGCAGATCAGTTCAGAGCTTTAAACTCACTTGTGTCAAGCTTACAAGTGAGTCTGCCCTTATAAGGACACACGGTACACTCCTGGTAGCAGAGCTGAAGTGGATTACCAGCTGCCACACGAAAGCTGGTCTGGTACAGACATTGAAACAGTCACAAATAAACAATCGAGAATGACTGAAACTGTGAGAAAGTTTAGAGCAGAA